GCTTTGATCCTCATTTTTAGCCTCATACAGAATGGCCTGTGAAAGGCAGTCGGGCCTGGGCTGCAGACGCGGACGAGTCCAGTCTCGCGGTGCTGCCATGTAGCTGCAGATGAATGCGCGTGGTCACGTTTGCTTGACGAGGAGTTTCATAGGAACGGACCCTGGGAGGGGGTGGTCGGTGCTCAGCCTTGTATTTCTCGGATGATGTTGGATAAGGTCTCTTAGTTGGATAGACTTTCCGGTCTGAACATTGACATGCTGCCTTCGATGTGACATGATTCGCAGATCTAGAGTTGTCATCACATGCACATCCCATTGTCTTTCACACATACAGAGCAACCCTTAGCCTCTCTGCCACAAAGTGATACTCGTACCAACCTAAACATGCCGAGAGAAGAAGAAAAGGGGGTCGGTTACACAAAAGCCATGCACAACAACACAAACAAACCCGCAAACGCACATCACTCAGTCAAGCCAAAGCGTAGTAGGCGAACTCGCCCTCCCAAAACCTGTCAGCCTGGACTCGTCTACGTCACTCGGGGAACACAACAGGCTGCATGCCCAGCTGTCAAATCCCCACACCCCTAACCTCCTCTCGATCACCAGGACCTGTGCGCTATGCAGCAGGGCTGGGCATCTCATCACACGCCCTGCATCCTTCAGGCCAGGCAAAGGAGGACGAGCCAAGACATGACGGAGGAAAGCCGATGGTGTGTGGAATGGCCCTGGCTTTTGCCTGACTCTCACCCCACCTTCTTCAACCTGCATTCCGGGGATCATCCACGACCGCGGCGCCGTTCCGGCTCCCCAGCACCGTCACACAGAGACACATACATACACATACGACCACATAATCACAATATATGCATGCATGCCCCCGGAGACCCAGGACTTGACACATCCAATGGAAACTGGCGAGGTCTTTCTGCACGGGCGAACTGCTCGGCTGGGAGACGCAGCAATACAAGGGGCGTTCTGGCTAAGTGGCGTGTTACAGAGCATGTACAACATCACATAACCTGCATGCTCTTCTTTGCTCGTCAGCCCACTCTCAGACATTTCTCCAACCTTGAAGATTCGTATTGATTGATTAGTCGTGTGAAACTAGCAGAAGTCAATCAGCCCCGAAGGGAAAAGAAGAAATGGGTTGCCAAATCCGCAAACCATGAACCTAAACCCCGCGCCTTCCCAGAATAGACGCCCGTTTCGTGATCATTGCATCCTTCGTCTCACTCATGAAGGGGCCGCGCCTGCTCACACGGCCCTTCGCCTCGCCCGTTCAGGCGATCTGGACGCCCGACTCGACCCGTTCGCGATGATGGGCGGGCCCTGGGCTCGGTCACCGTATCGGTCACCGTGTCCGCGTCCTTTTGACGTCTTGCTGCTCTTGCTTTTGCCGTCCGCGTCCTTCTTGTCCTTTTTCGACTTGTCCTTGTGTCTGCTGCCGTTGCTGTCCCAGTCTTCGTGATGGTGTTGCTGCTGCTGCTCAAGCCCCCGGATCACTCCCTCGTTTGTCAGCCGCACTTCAAGGATTTTTCTTTGGAAGGGCTGGCCATTCAGCTCTTCAACGATGCCGCAGGCCACCTCGGGCGTTTTGAACGTCGCAAAGATGTGGCCCCTCAGACGTCCGTCGTTGTCGCGCGGAAACTCAATGTGTTGGAGTTGGTGCTTGTCCGCCGTGACTACCTTCAGGGACGCTTTAATGAGCTTCCTCAGCTGGTCCTCAGACGAGCTCGAGCTGAGATGTTTGACGATGATTTTGCGCTGTTCCGTGACTAATAGGCCTGCAGAGGATACGGAGGAGCTGTAGTGCTCGCCAGTCGCCGCCGACGACCCTTCGTCGCCGTAGCCTGGCCCCTCGTACATGGCGTACTGCTGTGCTCGGTAGTCGTAGGAGGATTGCCGAACTCGACCGCCGAGCGCCGGCTCCATCTCGTACGGGTAACCACCTGCAGCATCGGTGTACCCGGTGGTGCTGTTGGACGAGGAATAATACGGCGTCCTAGGGGTCTCGGCGTGATACGGAGCTGGCAATTCAACGGACGAGTAGGGCGAATATGGAACACCGGTGGATGGTGTTCGAGCAGACCACTGTAGAGAGAAAATGTAAAAATCCTACACACGCTATGCATTGCTCAGCATGCTTACCTTGCCATGATGACCAGGGCCCGCAGTCGCCGGCGGCTTTACAGCTACTCCGTACGATGGCGAGGTCATGACCGACATGCCGCGTACATGTGGTGAGGCGATCGACGGCGCTGATGACGACGGGTCACCAATGAGCTCCTTGATCTTGATGCGCTCCGTGGCATTGCGTCCGTCTGCAATGATGCATCGACCCCCAAACTCGCACTGATTGAGGCGTCCTTCGAAGATCGTGTCAGAAAAGCAAGGCAGTGTGCGCACGCCACGTGGCTCACCTAATGCTCGACGAAAGTTGTCCTCTCCTTTGACCCGGACCCAGCCGGACGTACTACTGTTGAAGATCTCAACATGCTCGACGATGCAGGTGTACCGTAGCCAGTCCTTCAGCTCGTGCCATGATGTGCCAAAGGGCAACTGGGTTGTCGTCAGTGTCAGTTTGATGAGATTGTCGGGCCATGTCTCCTTTTGGGGGGGGGGGGGCCACAGACATTGGCAATGGTTATATAGTAGAGGCCCGTCTTGCAACCGGGTTCTACGTCTCGCTGGACGCTGTTGGCCGCACTCGTCATGGCTCCGGCTTGGTGGGAGGGCGAACAGTGACCAAACACACTCGAGACAAACGCTGAGACTGGGAAATTCGCGTGTTCGTATTCGTACGACCCCGAGAAGAACGACAAAGGCCCTCGAGGCAGTTTGATCAGTAGCACAGCAGCGATGAAGTTGTGACGCAATCGGTGCCAAGCGGGCCGTTTGCTCTCTTGGACAGGGAATAGCAAACAACGCAGATAAAGGAAAAAGACCAGACGTAGAGGGACGAAAGATGGCATCGCGAAGGCGGATGATCCCAACCCACATCCTTTATAAGACCATTGACCCAGCCCCAGATTAACACATCAGCAAGATGACCTAGCAGGGTTTGTGAGAGTTCTTGATTGCCTTTGGGATCCAATAGAGTGACAACTCCTGCTTGCTCTGGCTAGACTGCTTTGACGGCATGGAGCCAACGCCGGGAAGCCGTGCATCGCGCAGGTTCAAACTGTCGGGAGAGCAGCCTTGGCCCCGGGGGACTGAAGATCCTGTTGTCTCCATTAGGTAAAGGCAGCAATATTCTGAAAGATGATTGCAAAATGCCCGTCCACACGCTTACCTCTTTGCCAGCCGCCATCAGCATACACATCGGCAGGCGCACCATGCACAAGGTGGAGGGGCGTCGCGTGCTATAGTACATGTACTGACCTTGTCCTGGATGCAGTGGACCTTGCTTGTACTGCACTGCAGACGATCATAGCCCCATAGAGAATGCAGAGAGACGCCATCAGAGTCCCCCAAACCACGACTCCTGACTGCTGCCGCCGAAGGGCGTTGCATAACTAGGTCTGGATTCTCAGCCAGCTACGCAATGTTATATTGGCTGCCCTGCAACGCAGCATGCAACGCAGGTGCGTCATGACCGCAGTCGGCTGTCTGCTCAGCCGAAGTTCTGGCCCAATCTGGAATCCGCGGACCGGGCTCATGGACTCCCCTTTGCGCCCATACGAGCCTTCCGACGGCAGCCAGTGTTGGCCATGCAAATGTCGACAGCCGAGGGATCGAGGTGTGGTAACACTTGGTGGTCGTGCGAACAGGGGATGTCGACGCCGGGGAGCTGTCCCACCACGTCCGCGCCGAAAGCTAAAGCTGCCAAGAACATGACTTGGGGGGGAGGCTCAATTTGACATTGGCCTGGCTCTCGTCGGTTGGTTGATAGACCCGGGACAGATACTGCAGTGAAGCCAACAGTCAAGTCCCTGTCCCGGCGCTTCAGACATCCACGACAAATCGCTTCGCGAGGTGGGATGGGTCAGTAAAAGATGGGTTCCCCGTCCGAGGTGTGTTCTCCGAGTTATGTTGCCGTGCTGGCAATCACAATTGCTGCCCATCATCTTTCCATAGACTTGCATCCACTAATGCGGCCCATTTGAATTTGTCGCACGCGCCAGAACGGCTGCCCATGGTTTCTTTTGGCCAAGCCACATTAACTAGCCAGCCAGCGGCTGCGGAACGACACACTAGTTCTCTGTCGTATCTGACAGAAGGATATGCTGGGGTTCTCATTGGAACCGGCGACGGCTCCGCAAGCAGAGTGCAGCAATGAAGAGTGTCAAATCAATCCGCGGCTGGCCCGCATCTCGCCGTGGCCTCGGTGCCCTGCTCGATGATGTACCATGTAGTGCCCACTCAAGACTTCACAATGCAGCCTCTCCCGCCCGGCGGATGAGATTCGCTCCTTTACCCACTTGCCTCATGCAGTGCTGTACATGCGCTGCACATCTCCCCACCGTTGAGTTCGAGCAGCGCCCAATCCTGGTGGCTGGTACGTTATGAGGCGCCTTCGGATGCAAATCGCAACCAAGTATCGCGGCTGCAAGCTGGTTTTCCGCGGCAGTCAAACAGCTCCGACGTGGATGTCAAACCGTGTGTCTGGGTTTATTTTAAGCAGAGAGCCATGGTTTTGTACTGTGGCTACATGCCTAGCATTTCATTTCGACAGGGTAGTGGTGTCCTGTCTGGTCTTCAGATTTTTCTGAAAGAGAAGGTATCGTCCATGGCTGACAGGTCTTCATTTGTCACACCGGACGAGGTCACTTCCAGGCCTTGAATATGTCCGAAACCTGACGGCGTGTCAACCCTGCTCGAGTCGAGCGTCGCGTCACCGGCGTGGGCATCTTGCCACGGGGCTGGGTGCTCATCCGAGTCTCCAAGACTGGCCAGCACGGTGTGCGTAGAGTCGCTGAAGAGTACGACTGGCGGTTCGCCTGGTCGAGTGACCCATGCTACCCGGGGCTTGCCAACGGACTTTGAGGTGGGGGGAAGTCGAGACGCAAAGTCCACGGCCCGGGGACCATCCGATAACGGATCCCAGGTGAAGAGTAGGCCACCATAGCCTTCCCCTTCGCAACTCACAAGGAGGAGCTCGCGGATGGTGGGATGCCAGGAAAAAAAGTCGACACGTCTCCGTGGAAGATGAGCACGGCTCGCAACTCTGACGAGGATAGATCCCAGATCCAGAGAGTGCTAGGAGAGTCTTCCATCTTCGTGGCAGCAAGGACCGTGGACGAATCGAAAGAGACGGCTGCACAGCCAGTCTTGGCCTCTTGGCTGCTGCCGCTGGTGCTGTTGACTGAGCGAGTGGGGGCGGTTACGGTTTGTGTGGCTCTGACGAAGGAGTGGGCGGGAAGACCCGTCTCGCTGAAGGTGATTTGTTCCTGCCATATCTAGTGTACCTGTCAGTGAGGTGCACATGAGTCCTCGCCCCCCCAGTCTGAGGCCGACAACGCAGCACACGAGACGGGGAAAGGGAGGGGCTGAGCTACTGACTGACCTGTACAGTATCCTTGGGCACGATGAGGGTTGGGTGTTGAAGTCTGAGGGCGTCTGTCACGGCTGCCAAGTCGAGGATGTAGACGTGGCGCGTATAGTCGCATATGGCAGCCCGACTGGCGTCGGAGCTGAGGTGGCAAAGTTTGACACCTGCACCAAGGTCGTGATCCTTGACGTCGCTGGTGAAACCCGAGGGCCCAGACCATTCCTTGAAGAGATGACCATCGGGCGTGTAGAACAGGACTTTGTGCTGTTGGGAGGGCGACTCCCAAAGCACAAGCCACCGACCATCAGGCGACCACTGCAGGCTCTGCGCATCGACGGTCTCGGGGCTCCATGATCGCTCAACTTCCCGGGAGACAGGGTTGTGGATGCTGATGACATCCTTGCCGGCGACCCGGGTCAGCAAGGCAAGCTGCGAAGTCACGGGGCGGAAGGAGAAGCCTCGTGGGGCGGATGAGGCGTGGTGGAACTTGGGGTTGTTGATCTCGATGGATCTGGAAGCGGCCAGATCGAAGATGGTGAATTTGAGACCAAACTGGGTGGACACGCAGACCTCAGAGTCAGTGGCGCCAAACTGAATCAGTGTTGGTCGTGATGTGGCCGACGCGGGGACGCGCAGGGTAGCATGGAACCCTTCCCGGACGGCAGAGAAGACATGGATCTGCTCAGCCAGAGCCACCAGAAGCTTGGTCGATGACGGTGACCACTGGAAGGCAAAGACTGGCCCTGCGATGTCGGACGGAAGGGCGATGGTATTGATCGTCTCGAGGCTCTGGACCGACCGGACGTTAATTTTGGAAGAGAGCAGCGTCGCGACGAGCGTCCCGTCGGGACTTGCGATACAATGTGGGGATGCTATAAATTCGTTTAGTGCCGTGCGTGTGATGGATGCCAGCCTGGTAGCATCTGCTGCATGTTGCACCTACATTTGAAGGCGCGTGTGAAATGCATTGCGATGTGGTACGCAGGAGGCAGCACGCACGAGAGCGAGATATGAACAGGAGATACAGAGAGATGGCCCAGATGGCAAGGACAAGGCTGTCGACGAAGACTATTTGGACGAGATGTACGGTATCTGGTGCTGGCTGGCAGAGGTACGGATATGGTTCAACATTGATTTGGTAGGTAGAGAAAGAGACACCCAAACGGTCACTGCTTGTCGAGAGACAGAAACCAAATATTGACCGATTGCCAGTTTGAGCTTAGCGCGGGGTAGTTGCCATTCATCGACCTGCCACCTCACCGAATCACCGAACCCATCGCCAAAGACCCACCGAGCCCCTCCGGCCGGAAAGCGGAAAGCGGAAAGCGGCCTTCTCCGTTCCTTCTCCGCCAGGCGTGTCACAGTGACCCGATTATTCAGCAACCCCTCCAAGGCTGTCAAATCAGTGGACCCTGCGCCCTCCAGCGCGGAGACGTTATCGCCACAGCCATTTCTGACTCAATTCAACGACACGACATGATGATATCAGTGTGATAATTGCATCTTTTCCACATCCCATCTATCATTTGGCTTTCTCTTGTTTTTTTTTGTGTTGTGCTGTTCCTTAAACCCATCGACCAGCGACACGCCCGCCTGATCATCCGGGCGCCCCGTTGCACGGATGACTTGAGCTCGGAAGCCTATCCCTTGCTCCGCGGCAACTCATCTCACTCTCCTCATCCTCTTCCTCCGAATGACGACCATCATGAGGCATGCCATCTGGAGACGGGCCTCACTCGTAGGCTGCAGAGCCTCGAGACGGCAGCCGACGCCAAGATGCCTGACCACGGCTGCCGCCGTCACGCCGTCTGTGACACCAGATCCTGCGCCTCATCCAGCCCTTCCCGCGAATTCCACATCAAATCGTCGTGACGCCCTTCGCGATGCCAAACCCTTTTCCGACTTTCTCACGGACAACTTCAGTCGCCAGCACGACTATCTGCGAATTTCCGTCACAGAACGCTGCAACCTCCGCTGCGTCTACTGCATGCCCGAGGAGGGCGTGCCACTCTCCCCGAGCCGCGACATTCTGACGACGCCCGAGATTGTCATGCTTTCCTCCGTCTTTGTCAACCAGGGCGTCACCAAGATCCGCCTCACCGGCGGCGAGCCCACCGTCCGCCGCGACATTGTGCCCCTGATGCGCCAGCTGGGTGCCCTGCGGCCCCACGGCCTCAAAGAGCTCTGCCTCACGACAAACGGCCTGTCGCTGCACCGCAAGCTCGACGCCATGGTCGAGGCCGGCCTCACGGGCATCAACCTGAGCCTTGACACGCTCGACCCCTGGCAGTTCCAGATCATGACGCGCCGCAACGGCTTCGCCGCCGTGCGCAAGACCATCGACCGCATCTTCGAGCTCAACCGCGCCGGCGCCGGCCTCAAGTTCAAGATCAACTGCGTCGTCATGCGCGGCCGCAACGACGCCGAGATTGTCCCCTTTGTCGACATGACGCGCGACCGCGACGTCGAGGTCCGCTTCATCGAGTACATGCCCTTTGACGGCAACCGCTGGAACGAGGGCAAGATGCTCGGCTACGCCGAGATGCTCGACGTCATCCGCGCCGCCCACCCCACCGTCGAGAAGGTCCGCGACCACCGCAACGACACGGCCAAGACGTGGCGCGTCCCCGGCTTTGCCGGCCGCGTCGGCTTCATCACGAGCATGACGCACAACTTTTGCGGCTCCTGCAACCGCCTGCGCGTCACGAGCGACGGCAACCTCAAGGTGTGCCTCTTTGGCAACGCCGAGGTCTCGCTGCGCGACATCCTGCGCAAGTCCAACGCCGGCGAGCCCATTGACGAGCAGGCCTACGAGGCCATGAAGCAGATCGAGATGGACAGGCGCCAGGGCCTCGCGACGTCGGATCAGCCGCTGGGCACCGCCCTCAACGAGGCCGAGCTGCTCGACATTATTGGCATGGCCGTCAAGCGGAAGAAGGAGAAGCACGCCGGCATGGAGAATCTGCAGCACATGAAGAACCGGCCCATGATCTTGATAGGTGGGTAATGGTTTATACCTTTTTCTCACTCTCCCCCTTTCTCTCTCCACATGTTTGGATGGTCACTGCATGAGACGGCGTTGGGGTGTGCTGGAATTCCAGGGGGGATGGGGGAACGATGCCGTGTAGACGTGGCGTTGGCACGAGCATAGGCACAGCTCAGGGGCTCAATTTGATGAACAAATGAATGATTTCTCTCTTTTTTTTTTCTTTTTTTTTTTTTTTTTTACATGAAGGGATTTTTTACATGAAGGGAGCTAAATAGCTGGTTGTAGATTCAGAATCAACTGGTCGCTCTT